TTTTCTCTCCTTGTGGTAGCTACACGCCATTGGAAAAGCCAAACTGTTCCCTTAAGAGTGAATCTTGAGAGAAAGATAATTTTTTTTCATAAATGAAATAATGTAGAAATTTTTGTCTTATCTCCACATGATGCCCTATTCTTTTCAACTATAGTGACTTTAATACAAAGTGAAGACATAGCTAGACCATGCCTTCCTATCAAACTCCAACAGAATAATTCACATAAGAAAGGCATGTTACTTAAAGTCAAAAAGAAAAGAAGATAAATACATCTTAAAATGACCATTACAGAACAATTCTCAGATATCTTGGTATTAGAAGAACTGCAACTGTTGTGAAAAGATGCATAGGTGTATAGTTTGGTTTACATAATGTAGTACTATACTTTTGCCAAATTTCTTCCTCCTTTACTTACGCTCAGCTTAGTCAGGGATATATGCAGATTTCTTACCATGCAATTGCTTGTTACAAGAACTTCAAATAATGTTGAAGATTACTCCTTTTGTAAATGCAAGTGGCTGTTTAGGAACAGGCTAAAGTGTCCTCATAGTCTTATAGTCTGTTGAATGAAATCAAACTTATTGTTGCTGTTGTTGTTATCAGGCTTCTTTATGTTTCAGGGTTCTTCTGAATAGTGAAAATACATAAGAGGTGATACAATTAGGTGGTATAACTTTTAGTGTGACAAGTTCTAGGCTACTGCATAGCCTGTGAATGGCAATGCTCACTTTACAATCTCTATAATTATGATATATTGTATAAATTAATTGTTCAATACTAGAGTTTTAGTTAATTTCTACTTCTAATATTCATTTTCCTTATGCTTTCTAGTGTATCACTTTTGGAGAAAATATAATGATTGATACAATAGTAATTTACTAATATATGATATAGTATGTGCTATTGTAAAAATCAATATATAACTTCAAGATTACCTCAGTTTAGCATAACTGATTATGTTTCAAAAAATCAGTAAGGCTTAATTAGTTATTTGGTTTAAAAATGCACACAGCTATGTTACTGAATTGAAATCTAATTGTGTTATCCATTTTATCTCCTTGTGAAAATAAAAAGCATCATAAGTCAAATGCCATGCCTCAGTGAATATATTTTTACTGATGTCAGAATGGAAAAATGTGGAAGCACTAAAGTATAATAGAATGATTTATAGGAGACTGATATGAATTCATTTTATCTCAGCTTCTGTTAGTTCCTGCCTTTATGTGTCCTTTAGCTTGTGAAGCAGTGCTACAGAGTAATCCTCATCCACTGAAGTTAACAGAAATCAAGAGAATACAGTAACCCCATCTGCTTTTATTGCTGGCACTTTAGTTTCAGATGCAGTATAAAGAGAAATTTGAATGTCTTCCAGTTGAGATCTTGCTTCATGAAGAAATTAATGTCTAGGGAAATTTAAACTCCATTCTACTAATCAGTGCTGGGGTTTTTCTTTTCCCCTTTTTATTTCTGGTAGCACACTGATGACGCACCAGAGTTTATAGTCCTTGTCAAGCAGGATTAAAGCTAGGCAGTGTGTTTGTCTGCACAGCTGCCCCCCTGGTCCCATCCCTAATCTCACTATGCAAACAGTTAAAAGCGTGATGGCTTGGAGACATGGGAGTATGTCTCCAAGAGACCAAGTGCGAGAAGCAGACTGCATCACACAACATCACTGTGGTCACAGGGAAATCCTGAGGAGTTACTGACGCTACGGTCATGTCCTCTCCCAAGTCTCGAAAGGTTCTCTGACAAGTACCGACTGATCACAGCTCCCCGTTGAGATCAGCTGTAAGAGTGTATCAGCCATCACACTCTGCTATGCAAGTTAATGCAGAATAGACCACAAATGGAGACCACAGGACAGTTTAGATTGATGACAGCTCTCTTTTAAAGGGCAGAAATATCAGGAAATATTTTCATATCTCATGTGTTTTAGACAGTATTATATGATAAACGGGCTTATGGGGCCAGATTTATTATTCTTCTTAATACTTAAAGGTGCAGGGGATTTATAGCGAAGTTTTTCTCAATTGCTCTAATGGATTGTACTGCTTCTATCAAATGGAAAACCTACTTCAGTGCTTGGAAAGCATCAGTAAGGGTTTTCCTGCTTTTAGGTATGTAAACCAATAATATCACCCAACCAATATCACCATCACTGGTTGGTAAACCAATCAATATCACCACAAGTGATATTATGGGAAAGTAGAAAATGCTTATAAAAGCATGACAAATACAAAAATAACTCCTTGAGTAGATAAACGAGACTGATAAAAGGAGAGATGTACTTATTTTGCACCAATTCATAGTTCATCAGTGTCAGATTGGATTATCTTTCGATGATATTCTTTATAAATTTTTTCTTCTTCATGTTGAACAACAATATTGAGTGACCTTAATGTGCATTAAATTTTCTAGTAAATTGCTAGTTTGATCTTTTTGTTGTTGTTGTTATATGTCCATAAATTTCTGATTAAAATCCATGCAGTGGTCTATAATATACATATCATAGTTCTCATAAACACAGTCACTCATTTCTAGTTTCATACACCTAACAATGAATGCATAAGAAAAGGAATCTGGTGGTGAATGCATAACATCAGAAAGAAGGAAGTACAATAATTTATTTTTAACAATCTCCATTCTTACTAGACTTATTAAGGAAATTGTAATTGTTATCTTGCATTCAGCACGACATTCTCCCACTAGAAGTTATGACTTAGTAGGGAGTATTACTTCTGTGTATAATCAATATCTTTGCTTTACAACAAGCCAATTCAGTCTTTATTTACTATGACACAGAGAAAAGTAAAAGACATTGCTTTTAAAACATTAAAGAAAAATTCCGTGGACAGCAAACAGTTGCTGGTTCCAATGGAAAGTACTGGCATGGAAATTCATTTTGTTCTTTCTAGTTTTCTTTTTCAATTTTAAGGAAAAGAAATAATTATTTTTATATTTTAATTGCTTCTCTTAAAAAAACCCAAGAAATATGAACAAACAATTATTAAAAATCTTGAGCTTTTTGTCTGTATTTATACACAACATCGCTACCTATATAAATGGTTACAGTACTATTCTGGAACTTAAATTATGTCACGAGGCACATATATGACTAAGCGTAATAGGATACTTTCCAAATATTCTATGAGATGAGTGGGAGAGATAAAAATTATCTGATTTGCAATGGTAGAAAATGCATCCTCATCAAATTCGTTTTGTGAGCTGGAATTTCATCATTCCTTTTAGCTACTTCATCATCATCACATTATGGCTGGGCTTCGTCAACGAAGATTTTGGAAGGTCCCTACCCACGTTTGATACAAGCGCGCTGGTGGCTAAAAAGGCCAATATGAGACAGGCATGTCTGGTTGCAAAAGGCACAGCAGAAAGACTCCTTAGGTGGTATGTTCTGCAGGGCACGATTCTTTCTGCGTTGTCTTTTCTCCTTGAGAGTGATCCTGCGTGTGTTCTCAAAAGCATCAGCAACGTTACAGATAGTGTGTCTCCAGACCTCCCGATTGGAGGCCAGAGTAGACCAGTTATGGTGATCAATATGGCCAAGGCTGAAATGTTGTTTCAGGCAGTCCTTGTATCTTCTCTTAGCTGCTTAGGGCCACTGAAAATAATTAATTTGTATACATAGATTCAAATAGATTGGTTTCACTCTGCTTAAAAATTCATGTTCTGAAAAACAACTGAAATTTTGCATTTGTGGAGTTTGTAAGATTTCTCCACTGTATGCAGCTGGAAAAAAAAGTAAAAACAATGAACTAAGTGTTCAAATCTAAGAGTGAATTTTGCAATGTAGTAAGAAGAAATAAAGGTTAAAAATTTTTAAAAAATAGGGGGGAGGAAAAGAAAAAACATACTTATGAATACTGAATTCCTTTTGTCTAGATTTATATACCTTATTTTAGAATACATTTTACGGAGTAAAGAAATGTACTTGAGACACTGAAGTATCTATGGGGTAAGGCTGGTATGCACTGGGAGAGAGAAGAGATAAATTCTGATGGAAATCTGAGTAGCTCCTCTTTCCATGGAACTGACACAGTTACCAATACCAGCCATTTTCAAAGTGAAAGAAAAAACTCCACTTAATACTTTTTCCATGACTAAATAAGCTCCTAGCGACTTGACAAGTTATAAGTAAAACATTCTCTATCTCTATTTAACCCTTATTTATGAAGTAAAATGACCATATTTTTGCTGTTACAATGATAAAAAAATAAGTCATACACAACTGAATTGAATATAGATGATGGTCACTTAGATAATTCTGCAAGAAATTATTTTCTATTATATTTCGCTGAAAGAGTTCAACAATTTTCTTGTGCTAAATGATCATTACTCATGATTTCAGACCAAAAAGCATGTCCAGACAAAATGGGTTTAATCATATTGTTAGGAGGAAAAAACGTAGACACCAAATTAGCAATTACGCAACATTTGGCTCAGAACCTCCTATAACACAATCCTTTACGATTTGAGCTAATGAATTAGCTTCTATAGCAAAGAGCTTGGCTTACGCTTCTAGCAAGGCATAAAAAACAATATAATTCCAGCTAAACATTAATGCACATCCTTTGAAAAGAATCACCCCACCCTAGTACTGTCTTGGAGGTTTGAAATAGGTTGAATTTGAAGCAAAATCTTCATACTAAATTCTTAAAGTTTAGCAAAGAATCTTTAAAATAAAATGCAGGAATCTCTACAGTTGGACCCAGAGACTGATTATGTTCAAAGACATGTCTGAGACTAGAACTCAAGTGGGTTACATGGATACATACGTATCCATGCAAATGTAAGCACTACTGAGTATTTTTAAAAGCTAAAAAAAAGATAGCTTTTAAAGATTTTGTACACTGGTTATAGTTAGATGCTGTTGTGGTTAAACCCCAGGCAGCAACATAGCCCCACACAGCTGCTCACTCACTCCCCTACCAGTGGCATCAGGGAGAAAATCAAAGGGCAAAGGCCAGAAAAACTCGTGAGTTGAGATAAGGACGGTTTAATGGGAAGACCAAAAGCCACGTACACAAGTAAAGCAAACCAATTAATTCCTTGTTTCCACAGGCATTCACTTCTTCTCCAGGAGAAGAAAATGAACTGTGAAGAAAATTGACTACTCCAGTCCAAACCAACACAGACGTATAGCTCTGTCTGCGGTATTTAATGTTGCTTAAGTGTCTTCATGTTCTAAACATGTCTTATCATGTTTAGAATTTTCTTGTGCTTAAACTCCTCGCCTTTGAAGACAGAGGTATTCGGACACCAGCCTTGTTATCTGCACTCAGAAAAGGACTCTGACAAGTCTTCACACAATCATTTCAGGCATTTTAGTGAGAGGGACCTGGAAAAAAATAATAATGTCATTATAAAAAATTATAGCAATTATTGAAGTGCTCAAATAGTTTGAAGAAAAGAGTCAGAAAATTTGAGTCTGAGAAAGAACTCTCTTCAGGGGAAAATGCCATTCAGCATTCCATAAAGCGATGAGTTGTCCGAAACCCTCTGAAAATCCCGCCTTTCAGTCTGCAACACAAATGGTATGATTGCCAGATTTTAAAACATTGTTTTAAAAGTACAGGAGATAAACATCCCAGTTGGAACACCATACCTCAAAAGGAACAGCAGAGATCAAGTACAGTGCCGCTGGAACAAACCAATATTCTGTGTAAGCTGTTCAGGATCCATGCACAGCACATGGATCATCTGCTTTTGACATGGCATCTTTCTCTACTAGACCTTTGACACGACGTTCTGATGACTCAAACACTTCTGCACATTGTCAGATGGAGGAGGAACAGTAAGAAAGAAGCACAACGGTCCAACAAATGAAATCACACACAAAGTAAGTCTCTTAAGAGAATGTGAGAAATGTAAACTGAAGCATTTCTCATCAATGGGACAAGGCAAGGACAAGATTAGATATGCTTCTTCTTTTTTTTTTTCATATTTTGGTTCATACTTCCAAATATTTCAGTTACAAATCAGATACTGGATGTTACTGTGAGGGATACATACTTTCCTCAAAAAAATCCACTGTAGTTTAATCAGAGATGATTAATTCTTTTACTGCAGAAGCCAGAAGTTTATTTAAATTTTACCAGTTGTATTTTCCTGGGTATATTTAAGTTCACTCCCAGATGTAATCTTTGGGCAATAAATGTCAGTCTTTCAAAATAACATTTGTTCTGTAAAATAGTACAAAAATGTAGAGATGTGTTGTTCCATATTTATATGGGAAATTAGGAAAATCATGAATAAGTTAGTAAAAGATGATACTTAGATGCCTCTTCAGATATTGCAATCATTTTGGTTTAAAGTAAAGACTTTCATCCATTGAAGCTTACTTCTACACACCCGTCCAAATATGGTTTTCTTTGCACATATTTTGGTTGTTCTCATTAAAACAATTTTACATCATATTTTCTAAATGTTAACGGTAGATATAATGTCTGGAAATTGTATACTTCAGCAGAGTACTCACATAATTGCAATCAGAATGTGCAATCCTGCTAACACTGTTTGTTCTGCAAAGTTATTGAAAAATAATATTTGCCATTATCTAAAAATATTTAACCTGAATCCCAAGCTGATTATTTCCACTGTTTGCTTCCTGGAAAACATCAGTTTGTGTCTTTCATTTCGTACCTGACTGCAAGCATGGCATTTGTTTTTGATCCTGGGCTGCACCTACAGGTATATTACTAGCAAAGAGATAGAGATGTGATCATCCCCCCCTACATAGTGCTTGTCAGGCCACACCTGGAGTACTGTGTCCAGTTCTGGTCCCTACAATTCAAAGAAGACATGGACTGATGGAAGAGGGTCCAAAGGAGGGCCATGAACAGAAGGCTGCCCTATGAGGAAAGACTGGAGGGGTTAGGTCTTTTAGTCTGAGAAAAGATGGCTCAGAGGGGATCTCATCACAGCATTCCAGTACTTAAAGGGTGTCTACAAAGAGTATGGAACCCCTCTCTTCATAAAGATCCACATGAAGAAGACAAGAGGCAACAAGTGAAGTTGCACCAGGAGTGGTATCATCTTGACATTAGAAGTAATTTTTTTTATGGTGAGTATAACCATTGCCCAGAACAACCTCCCCAGGGATGTGGTAGAGTCTTGGTTGCTAGAGGTTTTCCAGATGCAATTGCACAGGGTGCTAGATGATCTCCCCTAGACCCCCATTTACATAAAAGGTTGGAGCAAATAATCTTTTGAGATCACTTCCAACCTATTCTGTTCTGTGACTGCATAATCATAATTTACATAGATTCACCTGATGTGACTAGTACAGGCTACATTAGGAAAATTTCTGACATAGATCAAAAGAAAAGTCACAGTCGGACAAACTTTAGATCTCTTGTAAGTAATGGGAAATAGAAAAGCTGGAGACTTCCTGGAGTAAGAGGGTTTTACATCTGCACTACCAGAATTGCAAAACCAGAGAGTGAAAACAGGGTAAGACCCTTAAAATTTTGCAAACCTCTCTCAAAACAAATAGCTTGACTGCTTAAAATTACCCATCAGCGAAAAAATCTTGAGTAATTTATTTTTAGGTAAAAATTTCATCCCACGTAATATGCACTCTGTTGAGATATAATAAAGTGCTTCATGGGAAAACTGCAGAGGTCTGAGGTGTTAGTTAAGCTGGGAAATCAAAAATGCACAGAAAAAAAAAATAGTGCTGGCCTAAATAAATAGTACAAAAATGAACTCTGAATACGAAAACCAGGAAAACAGACCAAATAGATATACTGGACATGAGTGTCAAGGTGCTGATTCTAGCTGGCTCTAAGGGATCCTCTGCAGGAGACAGCTGAGGGGAGCTGGTGGTGTCTCTGAAGATGATTTCACCAAGTACTTAACTATTTGTCTTCTTTCTTTCTCAATACCCGAATCAGTAGTTAAATTTATTGGCTAGGAATTAAGTTAAATTCCCCAAGTTGAGTCTGTTTTGAGTCCAGAAATAGATAGAGCATATTTTTGTTTAAAGATCAGTTATTTGAATTGTGTTGGCATGAAAAATAGAGCAGATCTGAAATTCATTTTTGCCCATAATGGGAATTTGCCCTTAAATATGAGCAGCCTAGAACTGTCAAATTCATTTTTAATATCTCGCATTTTTATAGAGCTTTTCATACTGAAATATCCCAAAATATTTTATAAATTACAGCCTACTGATCATCCAGCTTTCTTCCATTTACAGCATTTTCAGCAATAAATGATAAAGAATAATTTTGGCAATGGAAATGACAGCTATATTTCACTTAACATAATTTTTTCAATTTCTTTTGGAATAAAAGACCCCACACTCAACTGCCTTCCAGGAACAAGAATTCATCACTGGAAAATTTCCTCTAATATCTTGCAAATCAGAACATTTTGTCGGGTCCGTCTAGAAGTGGTAAATGTAATGGCAGCTATTTAGGCTGTGCTTCACGTGCTTCTGCCATGAAGACAGCTGGAGAGGAAGAAGCTTGTGTGGCAGCGAGGGATTGGATACTGGATAAAGAAAACCTCTGCCAGATGCCATGATGCTGAGAAAGGACCAAGAAATCTGAGGAGTTCAAACAACTTCCCCATCAGTGAGAAGCCACCTCAGGTGGTCCACGTGTGCTGTGAGAGATGGCCAGGGAAGAACAATTCCATGTGAGTAAAATTTCCCACATAAACAAGACATTGGATAGGATGGTGGTTTATTATTGCCCTGTAGCATGCAATGAATTATTAACATATAAATTACTGATAGCATTCTAAACCAATAGTTAGGTGAACATACAACTTTTCTAAGCTTCTACAGAATGCTTTCTTCATTCACAAAGCAGCAGTAAGCCTTTTTCTTTCTTTTTTTTTTTTTTTTTTTTCACTTCAGGCCAATAGAAGAAAACAAACAAGATTTACCAATTCTGAGAGAAATGTCAGCTGGCTAAGATATTTAGGATTAGATCTATCTCTCTGAGAAAGTATCAGTGTTTGCATCTTTGACTTTTGCTCAAATTGTGTATGACACAATTTCTAATCACACATTATCATGCAAGGCAGAGCTTTTCATGGTACTTGGTTAAAATAAATAAATACATAAACTTGATTTTCTTTCACTGAAACTGCAAATGATAAAAATTTTGAACTTTGCACTGTTTCCTTCAGCGTTTTGGGGGGGCTTATTACTCTTACATAATTGCTAGAAGAAAAAAACCCATATTTAATAAATTTTTAATATGTCAGAATGAAGATTTAACCATTTGTGACTAGGGAGCTAAGAAACATAGTACACAAATTTCATTTTAAGGTTGGTTTTAAGAAGATCTAGTTTACTATATTATTCAACATATGTCAAACAAAGCAATATATTCTGTTTCCTCTTTACATTCTTATCAAGTAAAGACCTAAGAGGGGCAATAGTACATGCAAATTTCAACCCTTGCCTATAGAAAATAAAAAAAAAAAATTGAAGATTTTAGACAGAACGTATTTTTCCTTTTGGCACTTTTTGTCTATTTAAAAATAGCAAAAAATGCAAAACCATTGCATGAATAATTCATATTGAAGCAGATTTTTGTTCTTTTCATGCTCTGAATTCATACATAAATGCCGTTATGTGGAGTATGTGCCTGTGTACACTTGCTATACATTTAGTGGTTTCAAGAATCTTCCCTATCTACTTAAAATTTCTCAATCTAATTGTTAAAAACACAATGAGGCACAGTTCTATGCAAAAAGGTCATTATTTTCTGTTCCTTTCACTCTGCACTCATTAGATATTTGTTTTAGCATTTAGCATTTAGACTTTTGCTTTAGCATTTCTCTCACTCTGCTAAATCACTTCTCGTCCTCTGCATTTCTGTCGAAGTGCAAGTGACAAAGGATGCTCAGGATCGTGAAGACACTGTGACTAATAGAGGAGGCATCTGAGGGAAAAAGGGGGGGGAAATGCTACGTGCTCTCTGCTTTGAATGTGTAAGCGCAGTGAGATGTCTCAGTCAGAACCATATGTATTTATTATCCAACTGTTTCTCCTTTACAATAGTTCATGTTCAGTTTTCAGGACTTTTCTAAAAGGTTTATTGGTAAACTTATTATCATAAACTGGGAAATGCTTCTCACCACTCTTTTGTTTTCCCAGAGCATTTGCTACTGACAACTGATTTAGGTTACATTATTTTTCTCACATCTGATTCTGATCTGATCCTGATTTTGAAATAAATTATTAGCTTTTACATAATACTGTAACCATTTAGAGAAGTTAATGCATTCCATCTACTGTTTTCAAATTACTTGTTTCCATTATCTGTTGATACACAATTGTAGGACAAAAGGAAGTTCTTTGTCACATACAACACGCAAGATTTTCTTCTTTGATGATGTAAGAGAATGAGGGAATAATGACTTTTGGTGACAGAATAGTGAATAACATTCAACCCTATTGACATCCACATTAACCCTCCTTGGCTTTAGCAGTGCAAATATTTTCACCAGTGTTTCAGAGTATTCTGCTTAATCAGTCATAGTTATGACCACACAAACACAGCAAATCACAGCTTCTGTACTCATATACGCCTTTCTAACCCATTGGCTGGCTTTCCCTGTTCACTCTGACAAAGCAAACTTATTCCTTGGGAGCTGATGCTCCTTCAGCTACTGTTAATTTTTAATGGTTACACAGTGCCAGCATTTTTACAGTCTCATTGCAAGCACAAATGGATTCAGAAGCTCTTTATATAGGTAATATACAGGTACAGGGATGGCCAATATTTATGTCCAGTATTCATTTACTCCAAGTTTCCTAGTCTTTCTCCCAGTCTCTTTTTTCTCCACCTTGAACTGGTCAGTGCCCTACATCAGAATGAGACCACTGGACACAAATGATTCATTCACAAATGACTCCACACGGGCCAGCAGTGTGCACTCAAAGCCCAGAAAACCAACCATATCCCTGGCTACATCGAAAGAAATGTGAACAGAAGGTTGAGAGAGGTGATTCTGCTCCTCTACTCTACTCTTGCGAGACCCATCTTAGAATACCGAGTAAAGTTCAGATGCCCCCAACATAAGAAGGACATGGAACTGTTGGAGCAAGTCTAGAGGAGGGCCAAAAAGCTGATAAGAGGACTGAAGCCACTTCTGTGAGAAGATAGGTTGAGAAAGTTGGGGTTGTTCAGCCTGAAGAGAAGGCTGTGTCGAGACCTCATAGCAGCCCTCCAGTATGTGAAGGAGGCCTCCAAGGAAGCTGAAGATGGACTTTTCATCAGGAACTGAAGTAATAGAACAAGGAGTAATGAGTCCCCCCTGAAAGAGGGGAAATTTAGGTTAGATATATGAAAGAAATTTTTTACTGTGAGGATGGTGAGACACTGGAACAAGTTGCCCAGAGAAGCTGTGGATGCCCTGTCTTTGGCAGGTTCAAGACCAGGAACCTGATCCGGTACAGGGTGTACCTGCCAATTTCGGGGGGTTTGGAACTAGATGATCTTTAAGGTCACTTCCAACCCAAACTATTCTATGATTCTGTGTTTCTAAATAAAGCACATTCATTCTCAAACAAGGTATTTAATGTGGAACAGCCTGCAGCAGTTCAAGGATGTCACTTGAAATACAGTAGAAAATTCTATGAAAGTACACAAAATTAACACACCACAGAAGGTGACTGCTAAACAATAAGTCATTAGATTTTTTTTCCAAAGGTTTGCAGCTAGCAGTATGTGGGAGGGGTTAACTGGAACAGCTAAAGGTAGAGTTTAGTTAGATTTATCTTCCAAATTTCATTAAATTCAATTAAAACAAGAAAAGACCAGAGAGTCTTAGTAATGGTTGACTCAATTAAAAATTTGATTTACAGAGAAATTTAGCTCTGAAAGAACAGAAAAAACCCAGCTCAAATGTTCAAAGTCTGCCAGAATCACAGTCTTACAGGGGAGAGTGACTGCTAGCTTTAAAAGTAAGCATTTCCATCTACTTGTAATTATACAAATGCTACAGAAGAGAAAACAGTCCACAAATCCATAGCTGCATCTGTAATGTATTCAAAAAATGGATCTCTCAGTGACCTGAAGTGTTAAATTAGAAAATCGCTCATATCATCACTAGTGAAATAGCAGTTGAAGGTTTCATGGAATAACTTTTGGTGTGATTTATCATATAAGTAAATTGAAGAAGGTTCCAAGAAAGGACAGGTGATGTAGCTTACGTTTTCCTTAAGTTACAAGATTGCATACAAATCCTTACTGCACAGCAGTTGTTTGCAGTCACGCTTTTCTAATAGTAATTGGTTTATGTACCATAATTCTGCTAACGTCAGCCCCAGTGAACATCTTCTAAATAGCTTAGCAGGTCAGATTTCAATCTTTTGTGATGTGATAATGCCATTAGATCTTCATCCATGCATTATTTCCTCTGTTCCTTTCACTACTGACATATTTTGTTTCTCCTACCAATCAATTCTGGTTTTAAGAGCCATCCTTCCACATGACTAAGCTTTTCCAGTTTTCAAATGTCATTGATTTATTCCTTGTTGTTCCTAGATTTATTTTCTGAGACATCCTATAAAACTCACCTTCATCCCAAGAATAATTAAACTGTTCTTTTTCTCCTGTGAATTATAATTTAGACAAACTATATTTCTCTCTCGACTTTCGCTATTCAGATATTTCTTTCAGCTCAATAGTAACATTTCTAATTTAGGTTAGAACCAATGCCAGCCGGCTCCAAGATGGACCCACCGCTGACCAAGGCAGAGCCCATCAGCGATGGCAGTAGGGCTTCTGGGATAACATAGTTAAGAAGGGAAGCTGCTGCACAATAGCAACTGCAGCTGGAGAGAGGAGTGAGAATATGTAAAAGAAACAGCCCTGCAGACACCAAGGTCAGGGAAGAAGGATGGGCAGGAGGTGCTCCAGGTGTCAGAGCTGAGGTTGCCCTGCAGCCCGTGGTGCAGACCACGGTGAGGCAGCTGTGCCCCTGCAGCCCATAGAGGACCACAGAGGTGCAGAGATCCACCTGAAGCCCAGGGAGGAGACCCATCTTGGAGCAGGTGGATGACTGAAGGGAAGGAGGTTGTGTTCCCACAGGAAACCCACACTGGAATAGACTCCTGGCAGGACCTGTAGCCCTGTGGAGAGAGAAGCCCATGCTGGAGCAGGGTCTTTGGCAGAACTTTTGACCCCACGGGAGACCCATGATGAAGTAACCTGTTCCTGATGGACTGCACCTGTGGAAGGAACCCACACTAGAGCACTTCGTGGTGGACTGTCTGCCATGGGAGGGTCATCACGCTGGAGCGGGGGAAGAGTGTAAGGAACCGTCCCTCTGAGGAGGAGGGAGGGACAGAGACAACACGTGATGAACTGACCACATCACCACTCCTTGTCCATCCTGTGCTGCTGGAGGTGAGGATATAGTGAAAATCAGGAGAGAAGTTGAGCTGAGAAAGAAGAGAGAGGTGGGGGAAAAATGCTTTTAAGATTTGTGTTTATTTCTCATTATTCTACTCTGATTTAATTGGCAATAAATTAAGCTAATTTCCCCAAGTTGAGTCTGTTTTGCCTATGACAAGGATCTTTCCTTGCCCTTATCTCAACCCATGAGCCTTTCATTATATTTTCTCTCCCCTGCCCAGCTAAGGAAGGGAGTGATGGGGTGGCTTTGCTGGTCACCTGGCCTCCAGCCAGAGTCAACCCAGTAGAGATCTTCCCTTCTGCTTTCTGAAATATCTTCCATGTCATTAAACTTCCTTTTTTTAGCAGTTAATTGGACTTTAGATATTTGACCTTTTGTTGTAAAAGTCCCCATCTCTAATTATTTTTATTCCTTGGCTCAAAGTAGTTATGTTTGTACCCTAAATCTCTACTGGTGATTTTTTCCTGCTGAAAGCTTGATGACATTATGTATAATTGATATTTATTCCAGTACCTTTTCACTTCCTTGCAACTGGATCCAAGCATTCCCTCAGTGAATATCTGCCATCGGTGTTCTTTTCATTTCCCTGATTAAAAAAAAATAAATATTTCATCAGATACACTCTCTGGGCCACTTCCCAGCACCCTGGGCTCAACCTGTGGCAGTAAGCTGGGATGAATATGCCTTACACTTCCCACTTGGTTGCAGTAGCTCTGGCCACATGACGCAAAAGCAGTTTTCTTTATAGAAACCTTTGGTTGCAAGTTTAATTGTCTCCCTGCAGTAATCCTAGTCCTCTCTGCTTTGACATGTTCTCTCACTAGGATCAGCAGGAAGGACTTTGGACCCATACAGAGATGCAGGTTGAGAGTTTCAGGTGAAGAAACAAAGGATCAAGCCTCCCACACTAAGACTTAGACCTGCTCTCTTCCAAAATGTATTTCTCCCCAAGCAATGGGGTTTTGTTCCCATTTTACTTCATTTTTACAGGGTACTTTTGTCTGGTCTGCTTTAATGAGACTTCACTCTGTTGTTTCCCATGGCAGTTCCCACGGTACAGTTGAAGTTTTCTACTAATTATATTATTTAATACTTTTATCATACTAAATGTTGATAGGCTATATGCTTGAGGTAAATGATAAATACAGTTTACTTTCCAAGGCATAGATAAAAAATTTCTACATCTTTGCACAGGCTTTGCTTAGATAATACAATGTAACATGAATTTAATGAACTATAAATAAATTTTGTTTAATATTTGACATGGTTCTTTCAAGATCCATATGACAGGAGACAAAGCAGGAGAGGCTGGTATTTGCAGCTTCTCTTCTTGATTGTAATTCACAGGTGCAACAGTAACCAGAGTAAAAAGAAGTCAGTTAATACTGCAAAAGGAAAAAAAGTCTAATGATATGGAGAAGAACCCTACTTGTTTCAGCCCTGACAGCAGATATTGAGACAGAAAACCGCATCTGTTTTTCTAAAAGATTGTTTGTTTTCACAAATTATTTACCATTTGATACTTTATTAAATTACATCCCAGAATTGCCCTTCCCCATCTGCATACAGAACCTCCCCAGGCAGACAAGCAGCGTGTCCAGACTCCAGAGAGAGGAGCACTGGATGAATTACAGAAGATTTGCACAGTGTCTCACTGTCCAGCAAACGCAAAATATTTTCTCCAGAACATACTGTAGGAAGACTTTAAAAAAATCAAACATATTTACTGACTCTCCCTTAGCATTCTGAAGGAGAATTTATTAAGCCTGAGGAAGTTCTCAGCTGTGTGATCTATAGGGTCAGTGCTACAATGGAGCAAGGGAGAAGGATTGCTGGCAACAACAAGCAGTCGAGACTGGAAGGGTCAGTGGATATTCAGGTTTCTGGTCTCAGACTCTCCTCATCTGTTTCTCAAGCAAAACTCTGGATCTGAGTTGCTTGCTCAAAACTGCAACGGATAACCGTTTTTCATTTTGGAAGTATTTTATGTGATTTGATTACTCTTGGTCCTTCAGGAACTTTTTTCTTGGATGACATAAGAGGGAAAAATTTATTTCAAAGAGAAAAAACAGTTTATTTCTAAGCCAGAGCTAGGCCAGATTGAAATTCAGTAAACTTCTGAAATCTTTACTAATGATTTGCACAGTACCAATATGTCAATTAAAACAAAAAGAAAGGAGGGCTGGGGTTTTTTACTTATTTGAATATGCAGCCATAAAGGTCTAATATTAAATATTGGTATTGTGAGTAGTTTTATTTACAACTGGAACACCCTACTTTCAGGACCAGCTGTTCAATATTATGACCAAATATTTATATCACAAAGTAGTAAGGATAATTCAACTCACTATTACTCAAGCCAAGTATCTCTGGCTATCAATAAACAGTATAAAAAATCCCCCTATGCTTATAAAAATTCTATTTGTTTATTGCAGAGAAGAGATATGTCATTATTCTTTGTAGTATTCTTTTTATGTAGCTTTTTGCTTCATGCTTTATAGTGACAAGACATCACTTGTTACAAATTATTAACATCATGATAGTATCTCCAGGTATTAAATATAAAGCATCTCTTATGCCATGTAGGTAGGTCAGTTTATCCAAATACCCAGAACCATTGTTTTGGTTTCCATGGTTACCCAGGGGATGCTAGCATTTTTCTTCCACACCATTGGTTGCCAAGACTACAACAAGCTGTTAAAAAACACAGCAGTTACAAGTCCAGATCGCAGGGGTGTAGTCCTGCATTCAGCAATTGCATGTCATAAATCTCACTTGGTGCTGCATTTGAATCCAGAAGGCATTCTCAGCAGCATTCTTCTTTGGGTTAAGCAAGATACTAAGGTTGATATAAAAAGAAAAAATCATAGAATCATTTATTCATAGAATGGTTTGCGTTGGAAGAGATCTTAAAGGTCATCTAGTTCCAGCTTCTCAGCCATGAGCAGGGACACCCTTCACTAGACCAGGTTGCTCAGAGCCCCATCCAACCTGCCCTTGAACACTTCCAGGGCTGGGGTATCTACACCTTCTCTGGGCAACCTGTTCCATTAACTCATCACCCTCACAGTAAAGAATTTCTTCCTAATCTAATCTAAACCCATCCTCTTTCAGTTTAAAGCCATTCCCCCTTGTCCTATCACTGTATGCCCTTGTGAAAAGTCCCTCCTCAGACCTCCCGTAGGCCCCCTTTAGGTATTTCAAGGCTGCTATAAATGGACTGTGTTTTGAAATGGAACCCTTAAGGATCTGTATCAGATTGTACTCAAAAAGTAGATTCCAATTGTTTCCCATTTTCCACTTCAATATACTAAAAAACAAAATCCTATCTTTTCATCAGAAGTGATGCCAAAAATCTCAGTTTTTAACTTATTTAAAAGCAAAATAGAATAGCTATACTTTTCAAACATCTGTAACCCCATACAACTTCCAAACAGCTTGCAGAAATAATTTCATATTGTGTAAAAACTAAACAATGTCTGCCATCTGCTATAACACGATACAGCCCTAGTACCTATAATATTTATTTTTAAAAAGACAAAGGAAAATATAATTACAGACTGCAAATTTAATGAGTAGGAACATAAATGTTGTTGTCAAAACAACATCACATTTCTCAGGCATAATAAAACTTTGAATAATCAAACTAGCTTACCTACCACGAAAAAAAACTTCTTTCTTTTTATGAAATGCTGAATATCAAGTATCTAAAATAAAAGCCTAAATTGCTTTTTGTTCTGTCTTGAGATATTTTTGAATCATGCTTGTCAACGGATATCTCTTCATCTCCTTTATAGGACGGTTTATTTAAACTATTGATCCAGTTCATTAGTCAATTAAAAATTCCAGCATCTGGTTGATTAAACATTTGTATGAAAAGGTTTGCAAATCTATAATCATAATACTTTATTTAAGGCTGAATTCACTTTCAGTTGAAATGTATGCAATAGTTACATTCTATTAACTGTACCTGAGGATTGACTTCTTAAGCTACCGGTGTAGCCTTTAAACCTATGCTATTAAAAAAAATCTGGAATTAATTAAAAAATTGTGATGTTTATGTGGGAGCTGGTCCCCAATAGACCATGAGCCAAGCAGAAAGCCTTCTAGCAACCCTATAGTTTTAATCTAAAGGGTAGAGGTAAATCTTTGCTATCTCTAGAGTGCCCAGAACACGAAAATCAAAATTGAATGTTTAGCTGTGTTAGGACTATACGAGGCTTCTTTTAAGACCAGGATTTTGTTGTGACCCACTATTCAAGCTGTCTGGAACCAGCTTTATGGAAGAGTTGTGCTCTGTTTTGTGAAACATGCTTTGTTGCATCAGAAAATAGCTGCATAGATAATACTGTAAATATCACATACTGCAAAAAATCAGCAATGTGGTAGAAAATTGTACAAAGCAGGAAAATTCTGCTCAGTTCATGGTGTGACGTTTAAGAAATCAGACTTTTCTGTTGCCTTTCTTGAGCTATTTCTTTGAAAATTCAACCTCTCTATGCTCTCTATCAGCTACCAAGTTCTGTGACTTTGCAGCTATAAGGCTTTGTACCTTCTTACCAATGGATGGCACGGAAACAAAGAGCCAACACCGGGTCCAAAGGAACCTATGCATTCATGGACTATCAATATGTAGACATCACAATCAGCTCACGAACCCTGGGCCAAATATGACTCAATGCCAGGTGAATATTAAGGATATAACACATACTTTTCCCTAGCCATCTGTTGCTTCTGGCAACTACATGGGACAGGATACTGCATCAGCTAATGTTTTGACTTAATGCAAGATATATTTGAAATTTAATTTTAATAAGGAGGTCTCCAACATAAGAAAGGTTAAGAATGAGTTTTACATAAAAGGTTCTGCTCAAGATAATTTTATACTGTGAGGTACAAAACCACCTGAAACGCTACCTGGTTAATTGCAAATAGCTTGTATTTTCTTTTCTGTGCCCTCTATCACTTCCTATCGCTATAAACAGTACTGTGATATGGTTATAAAAACAGATCCTGGTAACATTGTTTCTTCTCTCAGAAAATTCTACCCACTTTAATATCCTCATTGCAGTTGTCTATTTCTTTTTGCAAGGGTGGCCTAGCAGGATGATTTCTGGCAGACTACCTGTGCCTGACTCCCTTAAGCTAGTCTGGTGCTCACACAGTCAGCTGAAAGAGCAGAAAGCTGGGGCGGGGAGGGCACTATCATTTCACTATAGTTAAATATGTGCAAAACATGATGATGTGTTTTATTCCTCTGTTTCCAGAGCTGACTTATTACTTGTTTTTAAGGACTTCCATCCTTTCGGAATTAATTGTTGCAGGTAATGGAGTGAAGCAACTCTTGCTCTTACATCAGGCACCCTTCTATCCTCCTGGCCTCAACAAGCAGCTTGAGCATAAAGAAAAAATATATTTAAACACAGCTTTTCATTATTGTTGGCTGTTTGAAGGGCCACCATGATATGAGAGCATCTTAAAATATTGGCATAATATTTTAAAGGAACTATTGTCAGCATGCCCAGAAAGCTTCTCAGCAGTAACATTGGAAACATTAGCGTGAACCCTCATGAAGGCTAAGTCAGA